CCAGAGATCAAATTATTTTTAGAATGAATTTGTGATGTAGGTTTTGTTTTGAATGATATACAGGACAAAATTGAAGCAGACGGAGGCTATTGATGCTGAGAGAGCAAGTTCAAGGCAAAATTTGTCATCATGATTTGAGACTGCCATTTGCCTCAGGAAAGGGAAGCAGCTGGAACAAATGGTCCATCGTGCAATTCCCACTCTAAGAAGACTTAAAAGAAGCACCACCATTGAGCTTGAAGGTTGCCTTGTGATCTGTGAGAATTTTGAGCTTTTGTAATCTGCCTGGCTTTCTCTTCCAAAATCATTCCATTGTGACCTAAACTACTAACATTAGCTGGTCCAGATACAAGAAGGTAGTTTACGGACACTTGTTCAGTGTTTGGTCCGTGAATATCGAATGAACCTACAAGGAATATCCAAGCAAATCTCTGATGATTTTTGTATAAAACTCAGTTTATCTTTCCACTGAATAACGTATCCACAATCACTTATTTTGTTTCATGTTTTTATACCCTTGTCAGGGGGTTCTGGCACGAAGGGTGGACAAGGACTTGGCACCGATAGTATTGATGGAAAGATTACTGTTTATAATATACACCAAGATAGAATTTGACAATTTGAAATAAATTTCCAGATATAATAGTGCAGAATGTAGCTCTTAAGATAATAGAAGTACTAGATAAAAGGTGTGTTAGCATAAAACAACCTTTCTACATGCAGCTTCCTGCTACCACTCTCACCATGTGTCCTTCATGTGAGCGCGTGGCCACCACTACCACTTCCTCTTCTGGCACCACCACCACCACCACCAACCCATCCACCACCACCACCACTAGCACCACCAACTCTAAACCATTGTCACTACCTGCTAAGCCTCGGTTATTTCCCTTGTCACATGGCCAGGTCCAACCTCACCATGCTGCTTCATGACTCACTATGACTAATTTTTTGAAAAAAAAGAACACAAAATGAAAGACTGGAAAAGAGTTTTCCCCCCCTTCCCCGTGTGTAAATAGCTTGGCTTTGGTGATTTTCTTTGTTCCTATCATGATTAGTTTCATTTAGTAATATGGGGCAGGGAAAGTTTGAAAGAGTGGCTGATATACTTTGACTGATGATCTCATGAGGTTGTAGAAGAGATTTGGATAAAATCTAGGCCTCAATTTTGTGGGAAGATAATTTACCACCTGATGTATTTAATGGATTTTTGTATTGAATACAGTTTGGAGGATTATTTATTACTTCTCATTCTCTTGGATTAGTTCTCTTTTACTAGTTCTGCAGTGCTCCTATGATCTAATGGTTGATATGTATATTTCATCATTTATTATTCCTCTGCCTCTTGCCTAGTAAAGAGAGCAAGATCAGATTGTCTGGGATGAGTTTGAATTGGAGGCCTCCACACCGGTTTTGCAAAGAAATTTGAAAACATTAGAAATTATTGAGGTTGTTGGCAAGCAACAGCCTGAGGATATTGACCAAATTTATGTTTGCCACGCTAAGGATGCTTGAATGCCACGCCTTCAAATCATTTCATTCGTTGATGCATGATGACTTCGCTCACTGTAAATGATCGTGTTGGTTGGGGCAAGCCATTGCCTTGTTCAAAGGAAGGAAATCGTCTGTATTTCGTTGATTTTTTTATTTTTTTTTATAATTTTAGAGAGCACTAGTTTACAGGGTATGTTGTGCCTCGGATAAATGATCTGGGTACTGTTTGTTTTTGTGATGGAAAAAATTGATTTTTTTAAGTTTTAAATTTTATTTTTGTATATTTAGATTATTTTGATATGTTGATGTTAAAAATAATTTTTTTTAAAAAAAATATTTTGATATATTTCCAAGTAAAAAAATATTTTCAAAAATAATTATTACCCAATGTTATACGAGTTTTTAAATTGAAAAAAAAAAGTTTAAGACATAGAGAATTATTTGATATTATTATTAAATCTAGTTCAGTTGTTTAACCTTAAAACTTGAATGTTTGACTAACTCAGATTTAAAATTATGTCATATGAAAGTTGTTCTTACATAATCTTGATAATTAGTAAAAAATATAGTTTGACTTTAAAAAAAATCAAGATGATTTTTTTTAATATGTAATAGTTACGTATTAGATTGAACCAGGCTCCGCGACTCAACTTGTTAAATTTATGATCCAAGTGATGAGCTTCATTGAGTTTAAGACCTTTGTATTTTCGAAACTTTTTTTATTTAATTATACGATAAAAAAGTTAGATACAAGTAAAATTGAGTACAAACCAAATATTATGACATTTGTTGAGACTACAATATTTTTATAAAAAAATAAAAATAATTTATAAAATAAAAATTTATAATGTGAAATAAAAAGACAATAATATATTATATTGACCCGGGTTATCACGTAAAATTTACGATTAAGATAATGGGCATGACCACAACAAATTAGTCTAGTTAGATAATTTATCTTTTTCTTTCATTTCTTATTCTTTTCTTGATTGGATCTTAATTGATCTCAAGTTGGATTAAATCTGGAATTAAATTAAAGTTATAAAAAATTCAAAGATAAAATTTTAAAAATATTATATTATATTGATCTTATTCTAAATTAACTTATCAAATTTATAATTTATGTCACGGAGATAATCCTAATAAGGTAACAGTTTAGGCAACATGCATCTTTCCTTTTGTCATCCCTTGCTCTGTAATGAGTCGCTAATGAGATAGCAAATACAAGAAGTCCCACTTGAGTAAAATTTAGCAGCAAATGTTTATGCCATTGTTTTTTTGGTAAAAGATGAACGTCAATGTTCAGGTGGCCAGTCACAATATTTTCTGCCCTATTTTCCTGCTTTCAAGGTGATCTTGCTTTTTGGTAAACCATGTATGTACCATTTGCTGAAAAATGAGCATGACGACCATATTCATCTCGTGCTCGTTTGGATAATAATGATCCTGACACTTTACAGCAGGTGGCATTCGATACCTATATATTTATACATTCTATGAATTAAATGATGTTTCTAGGTTCATAAACTAAGAGAAGATTAAGGATAAAATCTGTCAACAGAGAAAAGACCGAGGAGATCAATACCTCTTGTGCAGAAAAAATGTAGCAGTGAGTTCACATGATTGAGTAAACAGCATAATGCTTAGATTTTGAAAATTATGCTTTCACTAAGGGGATGTATATTTAATAGTAAGTGGTTTTTATGAAAAGTAATTTTTAAATTTTTGTGTGTTTATTTATTATTAAAAAAATTAATTAATGAAAAATATTTTGTAATAAAAAAATTTAACTTGGTTTCTAGAAAAGTGTTTTCCTTTTATTTTAAGCGGAAAACACTTTCCTAAAGTTGTGAAAAATTTAGAAATATCGTTATTTGTTAATTATATCAAATTTGATCCTCAATTTTTTTATTACTATATATATATATATATATATATATATTTTGTTTTATATATTGAATCTAATTTTTATATTAACTTTAGTCCTTATTTTTATAATTGTTATATGCTTTTCCCTTATCATTTTTTTTTATTAAAATTTGTTATCTATCAAATTTGGTCCTCATTCTTTTGATTGTTACTTATTTTATTTGAAATAATTTATGAAATGTTAATTATTATTATTTTAATTTTTTTATTTGTTAGATTTGATCTCTATTATTTTGATTATTATTTATTTTATTTGAAATAATTTATGAAATTATATTTTTTTCAATTTCATTCTCATTTAACCTTTTAATTTTTAAGATTTGTTCCTCATTATTTTAATAAACTTGACAAAAATAAAACATTAATAAATTATTTTTCAGCTCATTTTCTATGATATAACCAAATATTGAAAAGTATTTTCTAACTTATTTTTCATTACACTACTAAATATTAAAAAAATAATTTATTTTTAAAAATTTATTTTTTTAAAATTCACTTTTCAAGTAAATTATTTTCTAGCAAATAAATTATTATCTGTTTTTTTATCCCAAGACACTAGACCAGCAAAAATAGACAAGTTTTAAGTCTGTATTACTTCCCTTATTCCTGTCTTGCGAGGGTAAATCTTCAAATTATTTGGTCACTTAATGTTAGGATCATCTGGTTCTAATAGCTGAAACTAGATTTCAGGATCATCGCTACAGAATGAAAATTGAGCAGCTGAAACTAGTACTCCACTGTTGTTTAACTTGCATTTTTGTTTTTTCAAAGAAGAAGGAGAAGAAGAAACGTGGGCCACCTATAATAATGGGTTAGTCTGTCTTCCTACTGGACGGGATTACTAAGTCCTACTTTTGATAATGAGCTCCATACTATCCTATATTAATTTTGAGGAGCCCATCCTGCTTTCACGGCCTGCTCCACGAAGACATCGCAAGATAGAGCTCCAAACTCCAGTTTACAAATGTTGTCTACTTGGATGTTTTTTCTTCTTCTTCTTCTTTTTCTTCAAATTCTCCTATCTGAATTTTATTTTTGATTTACTAAATTGGTTTTTCTTCAAATTATATATCAAAAAATTCAAAACATTAATTTAAATCTATTTTTTATATAATAAACTTTATACAATTCAGGTTTTAGACAATTAATATATTATTGAATTAAACAAATTAAAAGAAAAAAAGAATTTCTGGTACCTTGAAATTTTCTTCGCTTAGTTAAAAGAGATATAATAAGAGTCCAATACGTAGGTATTGGCAACTTAGGTGATAAAAAAAAAAAATTAAGCTAATTTCTCAGGTCAATATAGAAGGAGACTTGTGGCAGTCCCGTATAGATTATGAAGTGGTCTTAGGACCATCTATAAATGTGTGGACGACTTGTGAGTCGTGCTTGGCATTAAGAAACCCCTTTTTTCCATGTTCTGTGTAGTTTTGACATTCTCAAATTCCAAGTCTAAAAACAATCGGCTAGTTTTGTTAGAACTTAACGCGATATCAATGACTCCTTGATCTCGTATCTTTCTGTATTTTCTTTTTATTTTAACTCTCCAAACAAATAGTTGAGTGTTTCAGAAAATGATCCTCAAACCAGTTATAGTGCCCAAGGTTCCAATGAGAGCTTGCGGAACAACTTGGTCTCTAGGAATCAAGTTGAGGCATCAGCCAACTTGTTCTCTAAGAATCAAGATGAGGCATCAACATGTGAATGGGGGGGGGGGGGGGGGAAGGGA